TCCCAGTCTGGCATGGAAATAGTGGAAATTCACACCCTCAGATGCTATCCCACAGCTCTGTAGTGAAAACATCTAGGATCACAGGAATCCTTCATCTCCTTAAAACCTTCATGCCCATCAACATCTTTCTGATTTTCACCTCCTCATTGCAGTCAGCTGTGACAATGGAGGTAAAGGAAAAGGCAGGACCCAGAGCCTCAGCGATGCTTCACAAAACAGTGACTGTTGCTGCAGCAGCTGTGGGCAAAGTAGCCCCAGGAACCAAGCCAAAGACACCAAAAAACACCCGCCCATTGCTCTTGATGGATGCAGGAGATCTTCTTGTGCACAATGAACCACAGTGGTTTGGCAAATGCCAGAGAGTTGAGAACCACAAACAAAAGAAGGACAAAATGAAACAAGAGCACATTTTTGATAACATCAGTGTTGTCAAAAATCCCACCTCTGCTGACAGATCTGTCAGGAGAAAGGTTTAAAGACCAGCAGCCAGCCCAGGGCAGGGGAGCTAAGCAGCAGAAAAGGTACAGACTCCTGCTGTGTGGGCACAAGGAAGGTCCAAAGAAAGCTGTCTTGGGAAAGGTTTGTTTTATCCACAGCAGGAGCAAACCCGCAAGAAGATCTGAGCCTGCTTCCCAACCTGTATAGGACCTACGGATGCAGTCCTTTTTACACTTATGACTTTGGAGAACATCTTTTACAAGTACTTCAAAACAAATGAGCCGTTTTTCTCACTTTGGGGTCAGGTTTAAACATAGATAGAGGGAAATGTTTCCAGTTCATGCATCCCAGTGAGCTGAATGCATGTTGGCCAGGCGAGTCTAACAGGTGCTGAATTTGGCAAAACTTCTCCCGATTTTAACAGCAACTAAGTGAAATGCTGTGGCTTTCACTAGAAATCCTGATTAGCTTTCAAGTCCAAACAAATACGAGGAATCCTTACCCTACTTCTATGCAGGAGTAAGTGGGAAACCTAGTCTCTTACAGGACATGGTCCAGCCTGGCAAACGATGTAAAAAAACCCAAAACCAAACAAAAAATCCTCTGTAAGCAAGAGGACAAGCATCTTAAAAAGTTAAATAATTCCCTTCAGTCTTTTACAAATCCCAATGATCTCAGTCATGTCAGCTTTCAAATTAAGAGCATGTTTTAATACGTTCACTGCTCAAATTTCTTAAAGCAGGGAATGCCACGAACCACCTTGCTCCTGAAGAGAAAACGAGGACACCATAGTCCTTATAAATGCAAAACTGCTACATTAAAAATAACTTCAGCAACTCCAAGAAAGCTGTTGACAAACAACTCTTGTGGTTATCAAAACAGGCTACAAAAGACTGCCACAACCCAGACTCTAAAATCACTCTGAAATGATTCTCCAGAGATTTTTCTTAGAGGGTCTCAGGACAGCACATAATGAAGCTTCATTAAATTTGGAAGACACCAACCATTTATATTTTCCCCTCTTAACAGCTGTTGACAAAATGCATATGCTAAATAAAAAGTATATATAATAAAGGAAACTACATAAAAGGGGAAATAAAATTCCTGGTGTTAATCCAGTTATTTAACAGCAAAAGCAGGAGCAGCACCAACCGAACTGTTCTTAGTTCAGCTAAAAAAAGAAGAGCTCCAAAGTGTTTAGATAAAAGTAACTGAGTGAAATGCATCCCCCAGCCAGGCTAAAAACAGGATTCAAGCAATTAGTAACTGCAGCAGCCAGCAGCCTGACAGGAAAACTATTTCATGAAGAAACCAAACAGCCAAGAAACTGGAACATAATTCAGTAAAACAAATCAGACTGGGTAGGATTTCAGCAGACAGGATGCATGAGGAGCACATTGCAAGCATTGACTGTTTCCCATGCTGAATGTTCTCAAGCACTCAAGGCACTGTTCATGCACACATCTCCTTCTACCAAAGCGAGCATGGCCAGTTCACCATGTCTCTCTCACAACATTCACACTCGAGCCTTAGACTAGCAAGTTATGTCCAAGTGTGCACAGAGGGATAACTTGTCACCACATCATGAGGCTTTAAATGAGAGTAAAGAAAAGCAGTATTATTGAAACCCAGTGCAATGGGTATTTATTCTTGTTTCTCAACATGTAGGACATGCTGCCAACTCTGAAAATGCACCCTAAAAGAAATAATCATTCAAGCTGCCTTCCCGCACCCCCTAAGTCACCCTCCTGCTAACAATGATGTTGGTTGGATTCCAGCCCTGGTAATCAGAACTACATTGTGATGGACTCTGTTATTTGAACTGAAAATATTTAATCAAATTTAATAAAATTTGACTACATGATATGGCAGTTTTAAATTACAAACACAAAGCCAGAGTTTTGCCTGGTGCCAAAAATCTGAAAAGCTCACCCGTAATAAAGAACTTTATTTAGGATGGGCTCCAGCCTTCCCTGCCTTTTGTTTACAGCAGACTGTTCAGGAGCCTTTCTTCTCCAAGCAACTTAACATTTTTGGCAATGGGATTTCTGCAGGATATCGCTGTGCCAGAGACTGAAGTGCCGTTGCGTTGAAAGGAAAATAAAAGAAAACAACAAAAAAAAATTCTCCCCTGAATCTTGCAAGTGAACTCATATGTATCCCAGAACAGTCCCCAAAAGATTAATGCTGGTGCCCAAAAAGAACAAGCATCAGCATTCTGGAAAAACAAAATCAGTTCAACATCTTCCTGTTTTAAAACAACAATGATTTTGGTTGCTTCCACATTTAATAATGTGATTAGATACATTTATCATCCTTAATTCACCCTGTGTGACAGGGCTTTTATTCAGCCACAGTCTTATTGAGAAGTCCGTTCGGGAAGCAGGAAACGGCTGAGATGTGCAGACACTTTCCTTCTCCTGCAGAAATCCCCTTCTGTAACACTGGGGCCAAGAAAGGTGATTGATCCTCAAACTCAATCTGAGAACTAAGGTCCCATGAAGTGATGAGCAAGGGTGGTTTTGGAGGACGTCAAAGCCTGTTTATGCTGTGTCAAAGCCTGTTTATGCTGTGATCCACCAGAAATGGATCACCTGGTTTTGCAAGGGATAGGAAAGAGCTAAAAATCTCTTGGAATGACACTGTCCGCAGGCCCTAAGCAATAGGTTTGATGCCAAGGGATGCTACCCTGCATGGAAACACTATGATTTCCCAGACGAGCCGAAAAGCCTTCAACAAACAAGAAAGGGCAAGCAACAGCTGCTAGCAGCCCAAGCTTGTATTTCTCCTCCCGGGCAGATGTGTACACCAAGCACATCTTTGTGCTTCACTGGCTTTAGAGCTGAAGGAAGTCTCCTTTGAGGGCAGTCCTCCACCAGTGCCCACCTTCCCTACGAAAGGCAAAGTCCTGAAGCCCAGACAGCGTCACTTCAGCTGTCCCAGGCACCAGTGACACAGCATCATCTACTGCACCTAATGGTGTGTTTGGTTTTCCATTATCTAGAAGCAGAGATTAGATGATGCCCTACCATTCAGCAAATCCAGTTTTCTAATCTCTGCTTTTGGAATCCTCCAGAAAGGGCACAGTCAAAAGTACCACCACCAAAGGTACAGGATGTGCCCAGGAAAACCCCCATATCCTGGAAAGGGCTTGCCAATTTTTGATTGACTTCTTGTGCAGCTGAAGTGTTTGACACTTGTCACCCAACCCATCATTCCCAATGAAAGGGAAGACAGTCTACTGCACAGCAGACGGGATTCCATCCACAGATCCATCCAGCAGGCCAGGTTCTAAGGTCCAGAAGAGAAGTTCCCAGAAAGATCTTTTAATGTGCAGAACTGGAAGGCAGGAGGCACAAGGCAGCAGTGTGGAGGTGTATTTTTTTCTTATCAGATGGTGAAAGAAGAAAAAAATTCCAAGTTTACAAAGGTAACAAGAATCATGCTAAACCATTCACCGCACCTAGGACCTACTCCACTTCTAAACTATTAGGAGAAGTGCCATGAGAACACTTACATCCCTCCCAGAATGAAAAGGAGGAGCTGCCAGCTCTTGGGAACTGATTTAGGGCAGCCGATTTGAGCAAAGACTGTAGTAAATCCACAGGGAGATTTGGTTAACACACTGTTATCATTCCTTATCACAACGCGCTTTTTGACTACTGGTGCTCATCCCTCCCCCTTTGAAGATCCACAAAGCATAACTGAGAAATAGCTAGGCACCACCTGTGGAAGGTGCAAAGTTCAATCATACCCCTGCCTTCCTCTTACCTCCATCTTTTCTGAAAAGTTTTTTTCCTATTCTGAAGTGATTTCCAACACACAGCACTATCTGCAACATTCACGCAAGCAACATTGCCCCCCAAATCAGGATGAGCTTGTTGAAGTTCAACAATTCCCTGCAGGAAGCAGCCAAGGATCACGAGCTGGCCAGGTTAGAAGCTGAGGCTGTGCTGGCTTAGGCATGCGATGTGGAGCTGAGGACCACAGCCAACCAAAACAACCTGGTTTACAGAATATGCAGTTGAGAAATAACCGACCTGCTTAGCCACCATGCAGGGAAAAACCTAACTGAGAAATAGCTGTCTAGGTGTGAACCAAAAGCCTTGCAGGGAAGTCTTGATGCTTTGACTGGCAGAAACATTTTTATTTATTTTAAGTATAAACTTGTATATAAAATGCAAATCCCAGAAGAAATGAACTTTTCTTGGTACTTTTCTCACTCAGCAAAACACACTTTGACTTCAGACACCCAGATCTCTGTATTAGCTTTGACTTTGTGAAAACATCTCACAAACTTTGACACACAACTTCGCTGTCTCCTGCCTGCAGCTTTGCAAGTTCGCACACCCAAAACAACTCCAGCCTCCTTCTAACACTGCACATACAGTGATACATGAAGGGGATGCAGGATGAAGTGGGGGCTTGTTAAATAAATCACTCCATGAAATACAGCTTTTTGATAACACACCTTTCTTTTTAAAACAAAAAATAAAAAAATAAGAGGACCAAGTGTCACAACAAAGACAATAGGCAACACACTAAATCAACGTGAGAACTACCTGTTTTTCTGAGTGGGAAGTCATCTTTGGAATCATACATCCCCAGTACAGGGTGATTGTAGGTGCCGGATACGCCACTTTGGGGTGGGGAGCTCTGGTCCAGAGAGCTGTGCTGTGTCTTCCTGCACAGAAGGAAAGAGAAAGGAGAAGCTTTACACCAGTGACACACAAAGGGAACAAGTGCAGCTTGTCTGTTATCTTCGTCAGTGGGGAACAGTGCAAAGGAAAAGATCTTGGTACTAGCTCTCTCCTTCTAGGCACTCATGCAAAAAAGAAACTGAAGTCTAATCTACAAGGAGGTAACTAAACATACGCTTAACTTCTAGTATAAGAATTAACTGGTTGAGCACGGCTCAATTCATGAAGGTATTGAACCATGCGTACAATTTTAAGTGTGTACTTGGGCTGGGATTTGATAAGTCATATCCTTGAAGCTAAGCAGGGGTGGTGTTACTCCCCACAACTGTAGCACGAATGAACAATTTCCCTTCATTGAGTAAAACCCAGACATAGTAGACAAAGTCAAAGGCTGAACCAAAACCGAAGGATGAGCACATTAGGTGCCACATGTTTAAACTGGCTAACAGCAACCATGCTGCACAGGTGGTCTTCTGCCTTTTGCTTCACTGCCTCCCAACCCAAGTACTTAGCAGAGATAGGGCCAAAGTACTCCACACCTTTCAAGGTTAACTTCTCAAAGCTGATAATTTATAGCTTTGTTTGAGCAGGCTGCTGGAAGTAAATTACAGTCTGTTTGCTAAGGATATTAAATAATGAATGAGTTTTCTAAGCCTCCCACCAGTTTGTTGGCTGCATCTTTCCTACTTAATGACTTGTGCCCAGCTTTGCCATTTCTCAGGAGGTCTACCAACCCTGATCAGTACAGACTTCAGGAAGTCTCCAGACTGTGCATCTTAGCAGACTAGCTACATCAACAGACTAACTGATTTAGCAATACAGGTGACAGCCATATGGCCATCAAACAATCTTACATTTTAAGCTTAAATAAACAGAATTTAAACTCCATATTATTTCTTCAAAATACCAAAGAATATGGGACAACAGAAAGTGAGAACTTCACCAAAAGAAGCGAAGATTTGAAATTTTACATTGCTTAATAACCAGGCATTCTTGGAGACCTTGGTTAAAAATATTCTCCTACAAAAGGTTCTTTAAGGAACCAAAATGAGCCATTCCCATTTGAAAATTACACCAATGTATCCAATTCCTTGAGCAATATGTTCTGAAAGCTTGAATCAGAAGTAAGCTGTTTGGTGAGATACATTGCATCAATTCCATTACAAGTTATACCCTTCAAAAAATAAGGGGCTAATGAAACATCAGGAAAACACACAGATTTTCTACATAGTTTTGTTACAAAAAGGTCTGAAAAGTTTATTTGAACATCTACATTGAAGTTTTCTATACCCACAGCTCTTACCAAGCAGCATGATTCACTGTGGTTTCCTAATCCACCCCTCTTTATATTCCAAACTTCTTGCTACATACAGGCAGAATAATTTTTTGGGTTGTATTTTGCATTAGCATTCGCGCACATCATGTACTCTTTTACATTTGCACCAATAAATGCCCACATGCACACACAGTTTAATCATCACCTGAAATCAAAACAGAACCAAAATGAAAAGTATTTGAATCCCTCCTGAAAACAGAAGCTGCTTTCTCTGCCTGGATCTGCTCATACCATGGGAAGGCAGCACAGAGAGATGTTTCACAAACAGGAAGCCCAGATGCTGCAAGCCAAGAGCCCTCAAACCCACCATGTCACACAATAACATTTTTTCCTCTTGCCTATACAAGCAATAGACTTTTCTTTTTCTTCTTTTTTTTCTTCTTTTTTTTTTTTTTAAATCATGACTTAAGCTGCACAATCATGTACATTGAAGCTATTTTCATCACTTTGTTAGGGAATGTGCAGGAACTCAAAGGGCCTGTTTAGATGCGCTTTGGAGTTGCTGAATGACAGATATTTAACTCTGCAAACAGGAATACATTATATTGCCTGAGGACTAGGATCCAACACCCTACACTGCTTCGAGCAAAATGCATCGATTTGCATGCCCATTCAAGAATTTCAGAGGTCT